GTAATTCTTAACTTTTGTTTGCAATAAATAAATGTAATTTTTTTTTTTTTATAAATTATTGTAATGGATTTTTTTTAAATATTTTTATATAATAAATATCTAAAAAGACAACGTTATTGCTTCCAAGACAATCCCTATTTTATATTGTATTCTCAATTATTTATATATCTTAAATAGAGGATCTATTACTGACTATATAAAATGATGGCTATTAAGATATCTGTATGGTTAGCCCTGCTAAAGTTCTATGCTTTAAGACATTATAGTGGTAAATAGGGGAGCTGCAGTTACAGTGGGATGGGGCGCGGGAGGGAGGGGGATACTTCAGGATTCTCTAGTGCCAGGAAAATGGGTTTGTTTTCCTGGCACTAAAGAATCCCTTTAATTTAAATTTCCTCTTAGTAGAGGCCTTTACATCAATAATAAAATAAATATGTAACATTCAGTTAAATATATGTTTTAAATACTTGTATATAAAATAAGGCTATTAAGATATCTGTATGGGTAGCCCTGCTAAAGTTCTATGCTTTAAGACATTATAGTGGTAAATAGGAGAGCTGCAGTTACAGTGGGATGGGGCGCGGGAGGGAGGGGGGAGCTGCAGTTACAGTGGGATGGGGCACGGGAGGGAGGGGGGCACTCCAGGATTCTCTAGTGGCAGGAAAATGGGTTTGTTTTCCTGGCACTAAATAATCCCTTTAATTTAAATTTCCTCTTAGTAGAGGCCTTTACATCAATAATAAAATAAATATGTAACATTCAGTTAAATATATGTTTTATATACTTGTATATCTTTATTTTCTTTGTTAATTTTTACTCTATCATTCTCTGTCACTTGCAGTAGTAGAGTAAAGATAATCATATTAAAGAGTTTAAATAAAGAGGAAGTAAAAGATAAAATGTGGATAAGTGCGAGATAATGCATATTGGACTGAAGAACCCAAGGGCAGAGTACAGAATATTTGATAGAGTCCTAACCTCAACATATGAGGAAAGGGATTTAGGGGTGATTATTTCTGATGACTTAAAGGTAGACAGACAATGTAATAGAGCAGCAGGAAATGCTAGCAGAATGCTTGGTTGTATAGGGAGAGGTATTAGCAGTAGAAAGACGGAAGTGCTCACACCATTGTACAGAACACTGGTGCAGGGGCGTACCTGGAGCATTTGGCACCCGGGGCGGATCCTTTATTTGGCACCCCCCTGCCCCCCCCAACTTAAAATGTAAAAAACAACCACAATTTTTTTAAATGTATTTAGCACTGAGCAGTGTTTGTATATTTTTAATGTAAGCATGTTTTTGTATGGAGTATTTGTGAGTGAATGTACGGGTGTGTTTGCACGTATTGGCATTTTAATGCAGGTGTGCATTTTTCTGTAGTGTGCTTTTTGAATATGGTGATGTCTTTATATGTAGTGTTGACATTTGGATGCAGGGTTGTATTTGTGTGTAGTTTAGGCAAAATGCTGAGATGTGTGCACATACACACATATACACACACTGGCACACATACAGATACACAGACACATAGGTACACACATGCAGTTACATAGAAACACAGTCATTTGCAGGGAACAGCCAGAGAGCAGCTGGAGGCCTGACCTGGCCCAGCCCGAAGAATAACACCGCACCACTTAAAGGACGGGCCCCGGGCAGTCCTCACACCTCTCCGACAACACAACAAGTGACTACAACCACACTACGGTCCTGAACGCCAACCTCCTGCCACACCATGCCGACACTCTGCCCCGAAGCCAAGAACTGAACCTCGGTAAGACGTATGACCCACACCCTGACCCGGCAACCCCCAAAGGACAAGGGCGCCACATCACCTTACCATTTGGGGAACGGGGATTTCGTAGGGAAGAGGGACACCATCTGAACCCACTCCACCGCTTCACCGCTCGGTGGACCAACCCAGTCTACCCCACTAACCCAAGCTGTAGACGGAGAAGCGGAGAAAGACAGAGAGGGGGGAGGGAGCCAAGGATAAATATATATACATCTCAACACGAAAAAAAGCACCCAAACCAAGGAGGGTGGGAAACAGAGCATGATTGGGAGGGGGGAGAGGGGCAACTGGGGAGGGATCCTACCCGAAACACAGGAACTATATGCACAACACAGGAGATTGGGGCTCCCCTCTAACGCCAGGCCCCAGATGGACACAGGCCACCAAAGACCCTAAGCAACAGTGGTATCAGCGGAGACAACGCACCGCAATAGTGTCAACCCATCCGCAAAGCCACATAAACAATGCTACACCAACCGGCACTAGTTCTACCGGACTAATTAAAATGGACTGGCACTTATTTCAAATGGGGGAGTGGCAACCGGTCAATCTTCCATTAGGATTCCTAATGGTACACATCCTCCACTCTAACACTTAAATAGATTGAATATATTGACTAATTGTACCAGCACAACAGTGAAGTCAACCTGTACCCCTTATCTCTCAAGTATAAGATGACTATGGGGGGAGAGGAAAGCGACCCCCCCCTAATTTCTACCCCCAGAGTAAGGGCTTATTACTACAGTTTGCATTACTCCCACCCTAGGAATAGGAACATAGCAATAGGGCCGATAGCGGGCAGAGAGGGGGGGGAGGGAGGAGGAAGAGATAGAAAAGGGGGGGAGGGAAATTCCATAATAAGTCACATTCAAACGCGCCGAGAGGTGGCCCTATAATTTTCTAACGGGAGTGAGATATACCCTGATTAATTTACTTTAGATTACTACAGCTGTTTTAGCTCATGATCATCTGCCTGGATATGACTCCCTACTGCACCAATATTTTAAAAGGCCCCAGGCGGAATATTCTGACAGGGGGATAACCTGACTGATGGATGTGATTTAGCTATTATACAAAAAAAAAAAAGTGTCCCACTTAGCACAGCACCGGCACGAACACCCCGCGACAACCATGGGGTCACACCCGTAATATACATGACATAACGGTTCCCATGATCAGAGACAGAGCGGGCGAAATCCACACTCACAAATGGAACCTTAGAAACACCACAATCGGACACCACTGCGAATTGGAACCCATAGCCCGGAGACACAATACCTCTGCACGACAACACGAATAGCACGACCGTATTGCCCACAATGACAACAAGTGACCATTAACGCTACGAACTCTAGCAGCAACTGAGAACACCAATCGCATATCTCGCTCAGGGATAGGCATCCACAAAAGCCCCCCAGGGCCACCATAGGTGCATGTATCCCCGACAGCTCCCTAGACACGCACGAACAAAAAGCGCACCAATGACCTAGTAACCACCCTCAGCGGATGCAGCCCTAACTCACTACCCCCCAACGGAACACCTGAAGTGGGACAGACACAACAGCGGCAGGGAGCCAAGACTAGAGGTGAGGAGCACACACAGCTAACAAGTGAGAGCAGGGGAGGAAGGCAACGACCGTAGTACCTATACCCCAGGAAACGCGGGAGAGGGCGTGGGGCGCCGAGGCACAGACCAGGTCGAAAGGGATTGCAAGACAATAATAATGATCCCATAAAACTTAACCAGATCACATCGGTAAGCAGGCTACAATACATACACGACTTCACACGGTGGTGGAACCCCCCCATGTAGACAACACTCACATTACCCACAGATACACATCTCCACTGGGGGACAACATACCCAACACACCTCGAACTACTACTATCTGCTGACTGGACGACGAAAGACATGTACCCCACATCACCTGTGTGAACAATAGTTACGGCGGTGAGCCTGCGGGCATTGGTTCGAGATACTCTCGGGACGAACACCCCGCCATCTGCATCCGCGGTCACACAGACTACCTTGTTAGAGCAAGGTCGACAACTTAGACAAGCCTAAACACCGACACAACTGAACAGTATTAAACACTCACGGTTGACTATACATCACAGGGGAGCGAGGAGGAGCGCGGGGAACCCTAGGCACTCCCCTCCCCGCTGCTACCCATTCGGCGCGGGCGTAAGTTGCGGACAGCGTGGCAATTATGACGGAGATCGGCTCCTTGGGGTGCCCGAGCGGCGTGCGCCGGTCGCGGGCCCCTCACCCCACAGGGACAGCTTATCGCTCTTGTCCACTCCGCATACTCACCCACAATTGCAGGGGACTGAACATCCCAGAGCGGAGAACACACCTTCTTCGGGAACTTCGCCGACAGCGAATTTTGATAGCATTCCTTCAGGAAACTCATTTTTGGGAAGGCACCGCCCCGACCCTTGGGGACAGGACATATCCACACACATTCCTCAGCAACCACCACTCATCCAGGAAGGCAGGAGTGGCAATACTGCTCACCGCGCGATTGGGCTTCACGGAAACTGATAAAATATTGGACCCGGAAGGACGACACATCTTCCTGAAAGGCACAATTGCAAACAGAACTTACACTCTAGCGTGCATGTACGCTCCCAACCGGAAACAATCGCAATACATCAGCAGAACACTGACATACTCGGAGGAGACATTAACATCCTTCTAGATTCCAACCTAGACACATCCACAAGGCAAAGTAGCATCCCACAGAGAGAAATTCGAAGCATCTTGAAGGCCCTCAGGCACCTACGACTAGTGGATTGCTGGAGAGCATTGCAGCCCACGGTGAAGAACTACACACACTACTCGAGGGTCCATGCGAGATACTCGAGAATCGATTATATATTCCTCCAGCAAGAACAACTCACCGCACTGCAAAAGGCGACCATCGAAATGGCCACATGGTCCGACCACGGGGCGGTAACGGTGGAATTAAACTCCCCACTGACGAGACCGAGGGTGATGACTTGGCGGCTAAATGACACCCTATTGGACAATGTAGAAATCAGGGACAAAATCGCAGAAGCTCTGGCAGAATACTTTTCAAACAACGAGACCGGCTACACCCCGGCCACCACTACGACCATAAATGTATCTTGAGAGGCTACATAATCCAACTGGCTGCGAAAAAGAAAAAAGATGCCCAGCGAAAAATAGTGGAACTCCTCCAGGGAATCGGGGACATAAAGGATCATCACAAACGAACACTCACAGATGAATCGTACACCGAATTGCTGGAACTCCGAAGCCAGCTACAGGCATTACTGGTCAAGAAACATTACCGGCAACTACAGAGATCAAAAGCCTTGTATTATATACATGCGAACAAAGGGGGCAGGTTTTTGGCTCGCATGCTCAGGGGACACACAAACGCTTGCGCAAGTACACAAGCTAAAACTAACCGGTGGAAGAACGACTCAGCACCCCGAAACGATAGCGAATGCGTTCCGAACATACTACACCCAACTGTACAACCTGCACGTACAGCCTTCTACGATCCCAACACACACCAGGAAAAGGGAAATCCAACAATACCTGACACGACACCTCGCCAAACACATAACTCGAGAAGAAGCTGAGCTCATGGACGCTCCCATCACGGAAGAGGAAATTAAGACAGCAATCAAAACAACAAAGACATGCAAGGCTCCGGGACCCGACGGGTTCACACTTGAATATTATAAGAAATTCGGGGACACACTCATTCCATGAAGTCATGAACGCAATCACAATGGAGAACAAGCTCCACGATGACACACTAGCAGCAATCATAACCATTCTCTCCAAACCAGGGAAAGACCCAGAGCTATGCAGTAGCTACAGACCCATCTCCCTTTTAAACATTGACATAAAATTATTTACCAAAGTCCTTTTGAGCCGCCTCAACTCGTTCCTTCCTAGACTAGTGCACCCCGATCAGACGGGCTTTATTACAGGCAGGGAAGCTCACTATAGTACATTACGGGCCCTCTCCATCCAGCACCTTGCCAAACGCGTGGGGGACCGACTGCTACTCCTATCCACCGATGCGGAAAAAGCCTTCGACAGGGTGGACTGGACATACCTGTCGGAGCTGCTCAAGGAGATGGGTTTCAGTACCAATCTGCTTACCTGGATCGCTGCAATATACAGCCGGCCGAATGCACAAGTCAGGGTAAATGGGGCGCTCACGACCCCTTTCCCAATTCGAAACGGGACAAGACAGGGGTGCCCCTTGTCCCAGCTGATATTCGCCCTGACGCTGGAACCCCTACTCGAAGCCATACTGTCACGGGTGGCGGTCCGGTGCCCGGGACCCAGACACTGTCCGGGCGGTGGTGCGTGGACCGGGACCCATTATGCCTGATGTTGAGAGTAGGAGTCACAGTGTGGAGGTGGATTAGCAGGGTCTGGTGCAGGGCAACCGCAAGCCCCCTGGTGTTGAGCACCAGCGTTTGTGCAGCCACATACCAGAACTCTGATTCAGCTTATGCGGATCCCAGGAACTAGGAGCAGATAATTAGGCAGACCTCCCAGGAGCTGAATAGGGAGGTTCTGCAGCAGGAGTGTATCCAGTACTGAAGCAAGGCAGAACTAGGAGAGCAAGGCACCATACAAGAAAACAAGACCAAACTAGGAGAACAAGGAAAGACTAGAGATAGGCACCATGCATGAAAACAAGACAAAACTAGGAGAGCAAGGCAAGACTAGAAATAGACACCATACATGAAAACAAGACAAAACTAGGAGAACCCAGAACCAGAGCAGGACAGAAAGCATAACCTAAAACATGTACACAAGACATGAGGAAAACAAGAACATAACATGGGCATGACTGAACAGGACTGTACATGGACTGGGATTACAAGACAAAGTAAAACAAGACAAGAGATACAAGGTAAAACAAGAGGAAACATAGCTAAGCACTAATTCTGAAAAGTATGGGGATTTAGTCACATTATATGATCATACATTATGATCATACATCACAAGCCTGCCAACAACGCCAATGTACCCCATATCTGGCAGGTCCTACACTGCCTAATGTATACTAAAATAACCACACTATACCACAATAGCACTTACCTGCAAGAAAGGGCAGAGAGATGAATTCTGCAGGTACTGCTGCAGGTCCAAGCTGAAACAAAAGGAAAGTAGAAACAAGCGGGTGTGGCAACATAAAACAAACATTTAAGTGAATCCAAGAGACTGGGAAATCCAGGGACAGAATATAAGAATGAACCCAGAAACCCAGCAACAAAGCAAACCAGACATAGACCAGAAAACCAGAAAAACCAAGCAAGGATAGCAAAAAGAGTACTGGATACCAGAAGCCATTACCAGAATGATTCGCAGCGAGGAACAGGACGTGACACATAAGGAACAATGGAGACATTAGGGGATTTCATTCCAAAGAAGAATTAGAGTCCTATGGACGTATATCTGGCCTTAAATGAAATCTATCAAAATGCGAGGTCCTCAATATATTGATACCTAGCGACGAAAATGACAGCCTACGCACACAATTCCAATTTCACTGGTGTGAGTCCAAGATGAAGTATTTAGGTATATGGCTCACCAAGGACCAACAGGATCTATGCCCATCAAATTTTATACCGCTCCTCACCAAGATACAGCAAGACCTGCACGACTGGAACTCCAAGCATATATCATGGCTAGGACGTATAGCGTAGTGAAAATGAATATCCTGCCCCGATTGCTCTATCTATTTCAAACGCTACCAATGACGATACCCGTAGCATATTTCTCCTCCCTCAAATCAGCGACATCAAGTATGTGTGGAGAGCCCAGCGACCCAGAATCCGACATGAAACACTGTGCCTCCCACGACACCGAAAAAATACCATCAGGCTACAGTGCTGCAACGAATACTAGAGTGGCACTCTCGCCCACCACATAAACAATGGATCCCACTGATGGAGGCCGGAGGCCATGCGCCCACACAGGTGGCGGTGTGGGGGACCAAGACCAAAGCCTGGAAAGAACCGGACCAATGACACATACCCTGCACACGTGGGTCAACCTGAGACGAGAACACCACATATCCCTGACCCCAAGTCCTATGATCCCACTCACTAATAATTGCTCAATAGGGGGGGGCCTCACTCTCAGAGCATGGGGAATCCTGGGAGAACAGGAACAGGATAACATCCCATTGCACACGGTCCTGAACGACACTGACCTAAAACCACTCTCTGAACTCACCGACGCGCGGCCTCCAACCTTCCAGCAGTTGTTCCGATATACTCAATTGAGACATTTCTATCACTCGTTTGTCGACAAAGCAGCAATACACAGGGCTCTAACGCCATTCGAGAACTTATGCCTAACCAAAACTAGCATTGGTAGAGCAATTTCCTATCTCTACCAATACATCCTCATGGGAGATCACACGGAAATACTCACGTTCAAGGCGCAATGGGAACACATTGTGGGCCGGGAGATTACCCCGACCCAATGGGAAAAAATTCTCATCCTACACCATAAATCTTCAGTGAGTTCCTGATACCAAGAAGTAAACTATAAACTCCTGTCCCAATGGTATAAAACTCCATCACGCCTACACAGGATATTCCCCAACATCCCGGACACATGCTGGAGGTGCGGAAGAGGAGAGGGCACTCTGAGACACATCTGGTGGGACTGTCCAAACATACAGCCATTCTGGAACCAAATTAGCGAAAAAATCACAGAGATTATCCGAGAATTGATCCCCTTAGATATAAAGCAGTACTTTCTACATTTAACACCTAGCCCAATCTCATGATATACAAAATCCATAGTAAGACATCTACTGGACGCAGCCAAAGCACTTATACCCGCAATGTGGAAGCAGACACAATCCCCAACAATAACCCAATGGTATGATAGAGTGGAGGAGATCCGCTCAGCGGAGAGCGTGAGGGCGTCCCTCACAGGACAGAGTGAGAAGTACGTTGAACTGTGGGGCCCGTGGTTGGGGTACGTCAACCGGGAGGCGGGAGGAGGTGGATGCGGCCCGGCGCTCCGACCCGGCGGGTGGGGGGGAGAGACGGGAGACACACATGCTCGATAAAGACGTGATTACCACAAGGAAGTCAGACACTTGACCGAAAGGGGTCAGGGATTTAAGCCCGACAACTAGGCCAGAGGAAATGACCAAGAAATGCTAACTGACTCAAGACCGGACATACGGGGCGATGGGGGGACATGGGGGATAAAGGAACCAAAGCATAATGCCTCTATAATACACCGTATGGTAGAGATGGCCAAGAGGACACATTCACGAAGGAGACACACATATCAACAAGGATCCAAAAGGACACAAAGACACTTCAGAACTCGCAATCAACTCTTGGAAAGAGCAAAACTTGCGCATCACTGGACTGCAGCTATACTGAAAGTAACGTAGAGACTCCACATCCCACAGGACACACACACCACAACCACAGCTAGACGATCAACAGATAAAGAACACTCCCCTCACCCGACATGCTGACAATTCGATCCCAGAAACCTAGACACACATGCATGACTAACATGCAACAATCGCCTACACTACGACCTAAATTGTCACTACTCGACCGACAAAACATACAAAGTACAAAGCGAAACCATGCAAAACAAACAGACGAAGGCGCAGTTGACATAGACTCGCCCTCACAACACAAACAAGTACACCAATACTGGGTAGAGCACTATGCTCACACTTTCATGTCCACACCACTCAAACACCAATATCTGTCCGCAGTACCAGGCAGATGACAACACAAAGAACACCAACGGAACGGCCTGGTCAGTAGAGAGACCCACAAGACCTCTGTATCAAAACAAAATGTTCACATGTTATCTGTTTGTTATCCAGGTTACTCAGAGACATGCGAGTCTCACCCTCATCCTATACTGTTATCTCAGAGATCTGCGCATCTCACATGACCAGCTGTTATAACCTACATGTTTCTGGTTATCTCCTCACTTGACGTGTTGTGAAACGTTTGAAAAATCTTCAATAAAAAGAGATTTACAAAAAAAAGAAACACAGTAATACACAGACAAATACTGACACACATACAGATACAAACACACGTACAGACACACAGAGAGACACACAGAGAGATACACAGGCACACATACAGACACATACATACAGATACACAGACACACCAAAACAAACACCGACACACAAACAGATAAACATACAGAAACATATGTATAAGTGTGTGCTTGTGTAGTGAATGCAGTGTGTTTGCATAGCGAATGCAGCTTGTGTGTGTATAGTGTGTGTATAGTGTGTGTATAGTGTGTGCAGTGTTTGTGTGTATAGTGTGTGGTGTGTGTGTATAGTGTGTGCAGTGTTGTGTGGAATAAATGCTGGGAAGGTGAGCAGTGTGTATGGTTTGCCCCTCCCCCCTCCCTGACACATACCTGTCCCTCCCGTCCTCCTCGACTGGTGGTCTGGTGGCACAGCTTTAGTTGGGCAGTGAAGAGGGGCCTAGTACTCACAATGCTCATTTCACATCCAGCAGCAGCAGCAGGGTCCTCTGTTCTCGCGATCCGCAACAGCGTTGCCGTGGGTTGCCATAGCAACCTGCTGCAACGCTCTCGCGGATCGCGAGAACAGAGGACCCTGCAGCTGCTGGATAGGGAACTCACATAAGCGGACGGTCCCTTTACATTAGACACAGGGGCGGCGAAATTGTCGCCCCGGTGAAAGTGCGTCCCGGGCACCCCCCTAGTGAGTGGCACCCGGGGCAGACCGCCCCCACGCCACTGCATTGGTGAGACCTCACTTGGAGTATTGTACGCAGTACTGGAGACTGTACCTTCAGAAGGATATTGATACATTAGAGAGAGTTCAGAGAAGGGCTACTAAACTGGTTCATGGATTGCAGGACAAAACTTACAAGGAAAGGTTAAAGGAACTTAACATGCAGGGCCGGACTGGGGAAAAAATTAGGCCCGGCATTTTTCAATCAGAGCGGCCCCCTAAGAAGGGGGCGGGGCCAGAGAGGGTGTGTTTTGTCATCACTAATGACAAGCACGCCTCCTCTCAAAGTGAGCATGTTGGTTCAATGCGCAGAGCTGCGCTGAAGAGCTCTGGCATTAGAAAAAGGCCCTGTATTTGTTCTGCGCAGCGCAAGCAAATTTAATAACATGCTTGCGCTGTGTTTGCTTTTAAATTGTCTCTGGTGTCTCAACAAGTGGGATACCAGAGGACAAAAGGGCCAGGAAAGTGTATGGTGCATGTGTTTGGAGCCTGCTTGTGGGATTGCGTGTGTGTAGAGTGTGGTGTGGTATTGTGTAAATAGGTCAATTTCATATGTGTTTGTGGTGTAATATGTGTGGCTAGGGGCTGTAGAGAGTGTGTGTATAGGTGGCATAGTGTTATAGGGGATGTAGCGAATGTGTGCATACGGGCTGTAGTGTGTGTGTATAGGTGACGTAGTGTGTGTAGGGGTTGTAGAGAGGGTGTGTTTAGAGAATGTTGTATGTGTTTGCTGACAAGGAATGTAGTGTGTGTGTAGGTGGTGCAGTGTGTGTGTAGGAGATCTAGTGTGTAAAGGACCCAGAGTGTGTATAGGAGATTGTGTGTGTGTGTGTGTGTGTGTGTGTGTATAGAGGATTAAGAGTGCATATAAGGTAAGGGATCTAGCGTGTATCTGGAGCGTAATGTATGTAGTGCTGTAGTGTGTGTGTGTGTGTGTGTATATATATATATATATACATACATATATATATTTGGACGTATTGTATGTGTGAGGGGCGCAGTGTGTGTGTATGTAAGAGGGGTGCTGTGTGTGAGGGTGTTTTTATCTGCCGTCACATTCTAATTTTCTTTGTCTGTTAACTCACTGAGGGTTATTTTATATATTATATATATATATATATATATCTGTGAATATATATATATATGTATATATATATATATATATATGTGTGTGTGTGTGTGTGAGCGAGGGTGCTGTGTGTGAGTGAGGGTGCTGTGTGTGAGTGAGGGTGCTGTGTGCCTGAGTGCGCTGTGTGTGTCTGGGTGCGCTGTGTGTGTCTGGGGGTGCTGTGTGTGTCTGGGGTGCTGTGTGTCTGGGGGTGCTGTGTGTGTCTGGGGGTGCTGTGTGTGTCTGGGTGCTGTGTGTCTGGGGGTGCTGTGTGTCTGGGGGTGCTGTGTGTGTCTCTGGGGTGATGTGTATGTCTGGGGTGCTGTGTGTCGCTGTGTGTGTCTGGGGTACTGTGTGTGTCTGGGGGTGCTGTGTGTGTCTGGGTGCTGTGTGTGTCTGGGGGTGCTGTGTGTGTCTGGGTACTGTGTGTGTCTGGGGGTGCTGTGTGTGTCTGGGTGCTGTGTGGGGGTGCTGTGTGTGTCTGGGTGCTGTGTATGTCTGGGGGTGATGTGTGTGTCTGGGGGTGCTGTGTGTGTCTGGGTGCTGTGTGTGTGTCTGGGGGTGATGTGTGTGAGTGTGATTTTTTTTTAATTTAAATTATTTTTATTTTTTTTAATTAATAATAATAATTTTAAAAAAAGTTATATCCCCCCCCTCCCTTCTTACCTTTAGCCTGGGAGGGGGGGGCCGTTTTGCCTGGGACGGGGGGGAGCCGTTCTGCCATGGGAGAGCCATGCTGCCTGATCCCTGGTGGTCCTAGTGGTGAGCGTGAACTCTAGCCTGTAGGCTAGAGTTCACTCTCGCGAGATCTGAGCGTTGCCGCGGTAACCGCGGCAACGCTCAGAATCCCGCGAGAGGACCCGGCGGAGCTGCTGGATAGAGCTCCGCCGGTCCTCTCCTCCCTCCCTCAAACCCCAGCAAGCGGCCGCCTGGAAGTGTCTCTGGGCCGGTAAAGGGAGATCTTTGATCTCCCCACCGGCCCATGGAGGCACACAGCGGGGCCGGCGCTCAGGTAGCGCTGGCCCTGCACGGGCTGGCAGGGGAGATCCTGTGATCTTCCCTGCCGGCCTCGGCCCCACGGCCATCGCGGCCCACCGGGCATTTGCCCGGTATGCCCGATGGCCAGTCCGGGCCTGTTAACATGTATAGCTTGGAGGGAAGATGAGACAGGGGGATATGATAGAAACATTTACATACATAAAGGGAATCAACACAGTAAAGGAGGAGACTAAATTTAAAAGAAGAAAATCTACCACAACAAGAGGACATAGTCTCCTTAATTAGAGGGGCAAAGTTTTAAAAATAATATTAAGTATTACTTTACTAAGAGGGTAGTGGATACATGGAATAGCCTTCCAGCTGAAGTGGTAGAATGGTTCTAATCTGCCGTCACATTCTATGTTGATATGTTTCTATGTTTAAAAGCAGCTTAAATCTGAGGATGGTCTCATTTAAGAACACAATTATTTTGCAGGCTTTAAAACACCACAAAATCCCCTACCCCTTCACCCCTGTTTACAGGTGACTGTTTCACATGTTCACATAGGATGCATCCTAAATATAAGCTGGACTGAAACTTACGAGCCTCACCACCGAAGAGGCAATCCATGTGGCCTAAGACACTCACTCCTGATCAAAATCCACATTTGCATGGCCTGATCGATGCGCAACCAATGCTACCAGGTCATTACAAAGACAGCACTACATTTTTTATTATTATTTGTGTACTCTGATGGACCACGTTAAAATGTACACCTGCTCTCTGGACAACAGTCTCTCTGAACCACATGCTGCTACCTTCGGACGCAATACATATGCATCACATCTTTTACCTATGTTTTTCCTGTACCTTGTTACACCTAAAAAAAGCGTTAATTAAAAAAAACAGAATTATAAAAACAAAAACACCACAAAATCTGCTACATTATTAGTAGTAGATGAAACTGTAATATAGCATGGCATATACAAAACTATAAAGTGTAAAGAATATGCATATTTAGAATAAAGAATATGCATATCATATAATATAATGATGATATAATTTTTGAGTTAATTTACTAAACACCAAATTCTAGTCAAACTTCAAAGTAGCTGATTTAAAAAAAAAAAAAAACAAGTCTAACAGCTATAGTTGTTAGACTTGTAGCAAATACCAGCTATACCTGCTCATTTGCAACAAATGACACTAGTATTACTTTTTATTGCAAGCAGTCAAGTGCAGCTTCAATTTTCCATCAGACCAAGTAGTCAGAAATGTGCAGAATAACTTTATCACTCGTGTTACATTGGTTAAAGGGACACTAGAGGCACCCAGACAACTTCTGCAATATTTACATTGCAGGGTTAAAGGGACACTGTAGGCACCCAGACCACTTCAGCGTATTGAAGTGGTCTGGGTGCTTTGTCCCTTTTGCATTTAGTGCTGCAATGTGTTAAACATTGCAGTTCCATGGAAACGGCAATGTTTACATTGCAGCTCTAAGTCTGCCAACACTAGAGGGCTTCCGGTATCTGACGCTGGATATCCTCACACTCTGCATGGGGACCTCCAGAGTCAGATTTTTCCCCATAGGAAAGCATTGACTCACTGATGCGCATTAGAGCCCACTCGTCGCAAGACGTCGGAGGAGACAGAGCATCGGCCCAGCGCCGATGGGAGGGGGGCATGAGGGAGAGGGAGGTAGAGGTAGTTGTAGTGCCAGGAATACCGCGTTATATTCCTGGCACTATAGTATCCCTTTAAGACTGACTTGAATGGCTGTCTCCCAGACAGCCACTAGAGAAGCTTCCTGCAGTTCCTGGAGTTTAACGTCTTGCCTTCGGCGCTGGAATCAGGTAAGAAAAGAAAAAAAAAAAGGTGTTTTTTTTAACCCTTTCATCGCCAGGGGGCGGGCGTGGAGGCAGAGGGACACTATAGTGTCAAGAATACAGTTTTTACAGTTATATAAGGCATATAAAAACCACAACAAAGACCATAGGTTTTTATATTGCTAAAAATAAGAAAAAATCCTTATTTATTAATTTAAAATCATTCAGGTGGTTTAGATTTGGAGTGCAGCACAAACATGCCTCTAGATAGTCCACTATCCAGCAGTGAAAATAGAGACAAGGAACATTGTCTTTACCTGTTCTATTGTAATTGCAGCTGTCAATGGTAGAATGGTAGCTCTTTGTGAGAACTTGAGAAAAAAAAGTCACCCATTCCACTTCTACAACAAAGTTATGTTAAATGATCATTCACCAAGAATAAGTCACACAAGAAGAATCCTTCATCTTCAAAGTGTTCTATTAATGCTGGTGGTGAGAAGTCTGGATTAAAAAGAATATTCCTGGCTAGAAATCAGTCTCAAAGCACTACCTTTCATGAGAGTCAAAGCGTCAGCTGGTATTCCGTAAACTCCAATGAAAATTGTGTGAAATTGTAATAAACAATTTTAACACACTTGAGGCAATTGTTTAGTCAGCTGTATCTCTCACATATGCAACCAGTATGCTTCTTCTTATCTATGCTAAAACAGACTGGGAGTTTTTGGCTCATGGCTTTGCCAATGGAGCTGCTGTAAACATCTTTTAAAGCGGCACTGTCATGCTTTTTTTTTTTTTTTTTTAGTTTTCCTTTCCCTATGCCTGTTACCTTATTGATTATACATCCGCCTGCCATTGCCTTCATCTGTTGGTATTATCTTTTTTTTCTTTCAATTTATCTTTTATTTTGTATATATTAAAAGACATAACATAATTTAAAAATCACAAGATTAGAAACAAATAATACCAAGGTAAAATGCAATATAATCCATATTGGATGATGCCATGCAGGTTTTTTATTCTTAATTAATTTTATTTAGCTTTGGAAGCTTAATTTAAATAAATATTGGTTGTATTTTGGGGGGAAATTCCTTATCAACCATATCTTAACTTTAGCTAATATTTTGTTAACCCCAAACTTTGTTTCCCAGTATTTGAACGTGTCTTCTGCTAGAATATATTTTTTTCCTTGTGTTAGCCCTCTTTCCATTTGTAATTGAAAATGTATTTGTTCTTTTAGAGAGTGTCACATAGGAACTTCTTGGGTTTTCCATCTTCGAGCAATTACATTTTTTGCTGCTATTAATATATGTAGATCCAAATATTTTTGTAATTTATTTAGATTAGGCCAATGTATGTGCAGTAAATACGATTATTGTGCCTTCCTGATTCCCTTAATCTCCAGATTTTCTAAAATAGAAGTAACCAATTCCCAATATTTATCTAACAAAGTACAAGTCCACCATATATGAGCATAGGAACCTATTTCTGACTTGCATCTCCAGCAGGAGATTGAACATTTCTCATACATCTTATTTAGTTTCTCTGGCACTTAGTGCCATCTGTACATCATTTTATACTGTATTTATAAAAGATTCAAACAGTGTATGTTTTTTTTTTTTTTTTAAATATGGCATAATACCAAACCAGTTATTTATATCTATCTCGTGTCCGAGCTCTCTTTCCCAGCTAATCAGGGCTTTAGGTTTTATCAAATACCGGTAATCACCAGGTATATCTAGTAGGTGTTTTTAATGATTTTTCTAATCGTTATTTCTCCTTCTGGTAATTGGGATTTTTTTTTAATATCAATAGCATTCCTACTTTCTTTTTAATAGAAAGCCTCTTACTCTTAAATAAGTGAAAATTTCACTATGCGGAAGGGAGAACTCGAGAATGAGTTGGGGGAAAACTTTAATTTTTCCATCTTTCCATAGTTGTCTATAATTATCTAACGGCCACCCTGCTAGTGGAGAGGTTTCTGCCGCCAGAGATGTCCTTTCCCCCTAGAGTAAAGAGCGCTGAAGTATTCCCCACCATCAATCCAAGCAGTAAAGAGTAGGCATAGCTGTGAAGCTCTTATAAGAGCTAGTGATATAGCATGTATAGCAGGTCCCTACAAACACGAGGCAAGGCTCTATGCTGAGGGTAAAGCAGTTTAATAGTAGCCACTCTGGCCTTTACTGCAAGTCCCCAAGCAAGGTGTATGCCCCCATGGTCCTTGTTGGGGACAGGGACACAAAATTATACACCAATGATAACACGTTTACAATGTAAGGCACTCCCACATGTGGCATACAATCCCTCCCCTCTGTCTAGGAGATAACCCAATTATTTCCAGGCAGAAAAAAAAACACATATTTTGCAAAACCCCAAAAGTACCCCAAAAACACAAAAAAAAACCCCACACAAGTTACATCCCCTGATAGCCCTGATCTGGGTGACCAACTGTGGCGAAAGTGACCTCGCCACTGGTTTTTGGAGGGGCCTGTTTGTCAGCCTCCTGCCCTGCGACTATGGCCCTGGGATGTATTGCCCTTTAAGGAACTGATTTGGGCATATTGTATTTTATTATGCTGCTGCTGGCCCTTTAAGAACCATCTGGGGACATACTGTGGAGTTACTGGGGGACCACCATTTCATGTATCAGAAGCACATGGTGAGAACAATGGATGAAGCACATTGTGAGAACAATGGATGGCGACCATTTTAACTCACAGACACTGTTTTGACTTTTCTACACGGTGCCATCTCTACGGTATTTGGTGCACAAAGACATCGTTCAGTAGTTTTAAACTACAGAACAGGGGACACATTTAACAGTAATTATTTTTCATATAGCCTGTATATGTTCTGCGGAATCTGCATTAAACTGTATCTTCCAAACTACTGAACGGATCTGGGTGAATTTTTGGATATGTGGTTCACCCAGATCCCCCAGTTCCGAGGATATATTTATGGGGTTATTGCATGTTTAGAGGTCCCTGTGATATGTTTTATAATAATGTATTTTCCTGTCTGTGATAATTAAGTTAGTCTATTGTGTTGAGATAATTGTATCATGTCAGGATTACTGTTTGATCCAGCACGTAGAACTGTACAGCACGGATGACAAATAAGTAACGTATTACCGGTCCTTAGAATGGCCGGATTTAACGTACAAAGAATAGTCAAAAATACTAGCCGAGGTCAGGGAACACAGAAAGGGACACAGCGATGAGGAAAGCCAGGAGTCAGGATACCAGAATATAGAGAAATCAATAAACAAAGCCAAAGTCAAAAACCAGGTAGAAAACTATAAACAGGAACGCGCTCTCGGACAACCACAAGGGAAACCACGACAGGGCACTGAGCAGGCTGAGAACTGGGCCTAAATACCCCTCCTTTCTTTCTGATAGGCTATAACCGGCCTTTGACCCCAAAGTCAGTTACCAGGTTTCATTTGCATAATTGCTGCTCAGCATTAACCCTTCTATGGTTTAGGTTGCTGCTCGGCACAACTTTTCCTGTGTGGACAGTAAATGTCATTAACCACTTTTCTATAAGCGAATGAATACATGAGACCAGGTTTCATTTGCACAATTACTGCTCAGCATTAAACCTTCCGTGGATTAGGTTGCTGCTCGGCACAACTTTTCCTGTGTGGACAGTAAATGTAATTAACCACATTTCTATAAGCGGATGAATACGTGACATTACCCCCCACCTGAAGAACGCCCACCGGGCGGACAGGACCAGGCTTGAGAGGAAATTTAGCGTGAAAAGCGCGGATCTTACGGCCCGCATGCAGGTCAGGAGCCGAAACCCAAGAACGATCAGCAGGACCGTAACCTTTCCAAACAACCAAGTACTGTAAAGTGCCCCGAGAAAACCTAGAATCCACGATAGAAGATACCTCATACTCTTCCTGACCACCCACCACCACCGGAGGGGGAGGAACACAAGGAACAGTATATCTATTGCAGACAAGAGGTTTGAGTAAGGACACATGAAAAGTGTTGGGAATCCCTAAAGATGCAGGAAGAGCCAGAGAGTAAGACACTGGATTGATCCTACGAAGCACTCTATAGGGACCAAGGAATCTGGGGGCAAACTTCATGCTAGGGACCTTAAGCTTGATGTTGCGAGATGACAACCAAACCCGGTCCCCCACTTGGTACACCGGGTTGGCACTCCTACGCTTATCAGCAAAATGTTTGAAGCGTTCAGCAGCAGCCCCTAGAGCAGTTTGAACCTTAACCCAGGTATCCCGAATGGAGGCCAGACGCTCATCCAGAGCAGGAATGGCAGTATCAGAAAATACCGCAGGGAGAACCGTAGGATGCCTACCATTATTGACAAAAAATGGACTGTGCCCAGAGGAGTCATGAACAGCATTGTTTCTAGCGAACTCGGCCCACGGGAGTAGTTCGGACCAATTGTCTTGTGTGCTATTAATAAAACAACGCAAATAAACTTCTAATGACTGGTTAGCCCTCTCAGCTGTACCATTGGTCTGTGGATGGTAGGAGGAGGAGAAGGAGAGATCAATCCCCAATTGTTTACTGAACGCCCTCCAGAACCTGGACACAAACTGAGAGCCCCTATCAGACACAATATTGTGGGGGATGCCATGCAAACGGACAATTTCACGTATGAAAATTAGGACCAAATCTTGCGAAGATGGCAACTTCTTGAGAGGAATGAAGTGAGCCATCTTAGAAAATCGGTCTACAACCATGAGAATAGTAGTGAACCCAGCAGAGCTAGGAAGCTCAACAATAAAGTCCATGGATAAGTGGGACCATGGAATCTCAGGAACAGGAAGAGGCTGCAACAGGCCACAAGGAAGTGCATGAGTCACCTTAGAAACTGCACACACAGAACATGCCTGCACATACTCCTTTACATCTTTCCTGAGTGAATCCCACCAAAATGATCTAGTGATCGCGGCAGTGGACTTATTGATGCCCGGGTGTCCAGCAGTTATATTGTCATGGAACACTTTCATGATATTAACACTTTCACATAGGGGAACAAACAGTTTATCACATGGTTTACCACTGGGCGCCTGAGGCTGGGCCTCCTGTATGTTGCCAAGCAGTGGAGAAGACAGTGAGAGGACAGTAGTGGCAATAATACACTCTGGTGGAATAATAGGAGATGTCACCTGTTCCGGAGCTGACTCATTATCAAATTGCCTGGACAAGGCATCAGCCTTGGTATTTTTAGAACCAGGTCTATAAGTAATGAGAAAGTTAAAACGTGAAAGGAACAGTGACCATCTAGCCTGTCTGGAAGACAAACGTTTGGCATCCCCTATATATGCCAGATTTTTGTGGTCGGTTATGATCAACAGGGGGTCCTTGGAACCCTCCAAAAGATGTCGCCACTCCTTGAGGGCAAGAATAATGGCCAACAGTTCTCTATTGCCAATATCATAGTTGCGCTCAGCAGGAGACATCTTTCTGGAGAAGTAGCCACAAGGATGCAATGGTGTTCCCTGGCTTTCTCTCTGAGAGAGAACAGCCCCTACCCCTGTCTCGGATGCATCAACCTCCAATATAAAAGGTTTACTAGTGTCGGGATGTTTTAGTATGTCCGCAGAGGCAAATCTTTGTTTAAGAGTCTCAAAAGCATTCACAGCCTCTTTGGACCATACCGTGCTACTAACCCCTTTGCGAGTCATATTTGTGATTGGGGCTATTACAGAAGAAAATC